AACAAGGTCTACGCCCAACTTGAAGAAGTGTATCTGCTGCGCTCCCAAGATCTCAGTGCTCGGAAGCTATGTATGCAAGGACGGTGTTCATGCTGGCCCGGAGAAGGTAGAGACTATTCGCGCTTCGCCGCCTCTACAGGGTCAGAAGCAACTTCGTCAGTGGCTCGGACTCGCCACATACCTTCGTCGTTACCCAAAGAGCTTCGCATCGACCATACACCCGCTATCGCAGCTACTCAAGACGCTTCGTGATAGTGGTGTCTCGAGCACCGGGTTGCCTTCGACGCGGTCAAAAACAACTTCCAGTGCTGATGCTAGCTGACCAAACAAAGCCTTTCCACGTGGTGTGTGACGCCAGCGACAACGCGATCGGTTGTGTGCGCATGCAGCACGACGATGAGGGACGCAAACCGGTGGTAAGCTACCAGTCGTGCCAGCTTAAGCCAGCGGAGAATAATTATCCCGTCCACGATAAGGAACTACTAACAATGTGCTACGCACTCATCAAATTTAGCGTGTATCTACTGCGTGAACATACACTTGCAGTTTACACGCATCACGCCTCTCTGCGGACTGCGACGAAGTGTCCTCACTTTTCTCAAAGCATGGCTCGCTGGCTCTCGCTGTTCTAAAAGCGACATTTTGTCGTGCACTACAATCCTGGCAAAACTAAAATCTATGCCGACGTTGCTCTCGCGTCGGCCGAACTACGATCCCGGTTCACACACTGATCGCCACGCCATTGGTGATACGGCGGACGATGGCGACTGCGCTGTGTGCATTGCTGCGGTCGAAGTCGCAGCGATCGGCCACTCTACAATGTTATAACCATCGCCTACGATTCAGTTGAAGCGTGTTCCGAGATGTTCCAGTAATCGGCAGGCTCTGTCGGACAAAGCACGGCGCTGGCTGTCGCCGCGAATCCGCTCTCGCATCGGCCGTTAAGCTATGGAAGGCGTTTGCTGACATGTCACGTGGATCGCGATGATGGCCCGCGCATCGTCGCTCCGCTCGATGGTGATCTCCGAGCTTGAATCCTACATGAGCTCCACGATACACCTAGCGGCTTCCACCTCGGGCGCGACAAAACGTTTGTAGCACTGTCTCGAGCTGTTTTGTTGTCCCCCCATGCGCATGTGGGTACGGAAATGGATGCGCCCCTGCATAGCATGTCAGCGCGTTAAGCCTGCTCCGTCCAAGCAGGATCCGTTTTGTCCGCTCCCCGTTGCTCGGGATGCGTGAACGTCCGTGAATATGGACTTCATTTCAAGTTATGCGTTATTCCCATGGTCACACTGGTATTATCGTCTTCATCGATAGATTCAGTACGATGGTACATCTTGTTCCGGTTGCAGCTTCAACAACCGCCGACCATACAGCGGTGATCTTTGTTTGACATCATCTATCGTCATCTCGGTACGCCAGTCTCTTTCATCTCTGATCGAGAGGCAGTGGTCTGCAGGCACGGTAGGGATTGCCAAAGAGAAGGAGGGGGCTCGGAGAAATGGATTGTAGGAGGTCCAACAATGAGCTCACGCTATTGCGTCTGCTACTGTGCTGATGATTATATGGGTCTATCAAGACCTATAATTCAGTACAGTAAACTTTTGTAGTCTCACAAGTCATCCTCTCTGCCAGTTGCGTCAGTCTATTTACTATCTTACGGGTCCACACAGACCTATAAGATCCTGGTGACGAAAGGCTTAACCCTTTCACCTTAAGGACGGTGCTCGACCCACGCGAGCTGATATTTTTCTCGCTGTCCAGGAAGACAAGTACGTCTTTCTCTGTTTTTTTTTCACCTCAAGAACACAGTCACGATAGTCGTCAGCCTGTTTATCAAGAGAGAAGCCGTTTTCAAGAAAAAATCATGAAGACCACCAGCAACTTTGCTCTCGACAGCTTTTGTTTTGGCACCAGTGCGTACCAGCGTGGATCTTGAGCGTACCACTCAAGCCACGTGGTATGAAGGTGGGGCGGAGATCCCCGCTGTTTCTTGTTCAGCGTACTAACTTCATCTGTATCTTTATCTGGATAGCTTCGTTTTTTGCGTAAGTTTGCTGTTTTGCCTCTCATCGAGTGCGTCTATGCGAGCGTTCTGCCGCTTGATGTGCTCCATAACGTTATTAATCACAGTCGCTTGGCGGTCGACGGCCTTCTGGTTCTCGATTGGTTCTCCTGGCTGTTCATCGTCATTGTGGGAGGGTGCATTACCTGTCTTGGTGTCTTCACAGGTAGTGGATGGAGGTACCAGGTGCGAGGACCATGCAAGCAGCTCGGCTGATGAGCACCCAGCGTGAGCAACATCCGCTTCGATGGTCTTCACAGGTGAACTTGTGGAGCTCAGGTCTTTAGGTGGCGGAAAGTGTCGGAAGATGCGTGCGGTGAGGACATCCATTACCTTCTTGTTGATGTTTAGGCTGTCAGTCCTGAGCTGAACGCAGTAGCAAACAGGACACGCTGTATCGGATCCATTGTTTTACGCGTGTGCGTGTGAAAGCCAGTCAAACTTGCAGTGGCACCGCGGTTCTGGGTTTGTATCCGCTGACTATTTTCACTATCTTGTGGTATGTTTTGCTTGTATTGATAATGTAATTTAACCCTTTGTTCGTCGTCCTTAGATTTTAGGAGCTTATGACGAAGATCCAACGTGCATCATCTTGTCGCAGCCGTTCGCGTGTTTAGCGCCTCTTCTTTGAAATGAGTGCAATGTCAAGGCGGCATCCACACCAGTAGCAGGCATCACACAGTCTAGCACCCGGATAACGTGCGCATATACTGTTGGGGTCGTGACAGCGCGTGGCAGGGCTGCTGGAGCGGCAAGACCAGTGATGTCTTGCGGAGCGTTCAGCAGCTCGATCAGCGAGATGTCGGGAGAGCGTGGAGCTTGATAATCCTGTTTGTTCTGCGAGGCTGCTGACGAGAGCTGCGGCTTGGAGAATCAAGGCGAGCGCACTGGAGAGCAAGGAACTCATAGCTAATTCCGTGTCAGGAAAGAGCGATAGCCAATGTTTCTCAGACGTCTTCACGCGAACCAAGCGCAGAAAGAAAATGTCGCCTGCGTCCACTGACATGTGTTGTTTGCGGATTATGGCTAGGTCAGACGCGCGGCCGAACAAGTTCCAAAGAGGACATAGTAAAGCAGCATCTTGATGAGTTAGCATAAGTGGAAAAAACACCATCATTCTTTTCGAATCATCTTTCGTACAAGGTGGTTCCTTCGCTACGAGCCCACCACCATCTCGTTTGAGACAGAAGCTGTCTAGTGTCTTCCCCATTTTCAGCAACTGAGCTTCCAATGAAGCTCGGTGCTTAGGGAACTGATTGAGCGGCCAGGGCTTGTCTTGCCGATAGTACTGCATCACAGTGTTGAGAGCTTTTGGTTTATCTTTCTCTCTACCTTCTTAAACGCAAGATACATACCAAATTTATCCATCACACACACAAACATTTTCCGCTCTCGTCACTATCAATGCACTTCCATACCAAAATTTATCGGACCGAATGATCTTATCGGACATGTACTAAATGGATGGTACAAAATAATAATAACCCTCAAAACAAATATATAAAATCTAAAGTTTAGATGCTGTGGGCCACAAAGGTAAGACTTATAATATGAGTAAAAAGAGTCCGGCGTGCAGATGGTGGCAGCAGTGAGGACGGCGGCAAGCGAGCGTGGAGACGGGCGCAAGGGTGGCGGTGACCAAGTGTGGTGACAGCGACGACAGTAGAAGGGTGGCGGGTGACCAGCAGCGGAGACAGCAGCGATGGCGGAAGCGAGTGGCTGGCGGTGAAGAGAGGGCGACGCGGCGCGGTGATGATGAGCAAGATGGACGTGTTCGGCGCGTCGCTCGGCATAGCTGTGGTGCGACGGAGCTCTGGTGCATCGGTGGGGAAGCTCACGGTAGGGACTTTGGAACGTCAATAAGCGGGCCGTGGAGAAGGAGGATGCGACTACCAAGGGCAAGAAGGATACGTGCGGATCAGCGTGGCGTTGCTCCAGTCGGAAGTGTTGCATATAGGATGAGAACAGCGTTCGGAGCCGGTGCTAGGTGGCCATAGCCCGGAACAGGAGCCGGATGCCGCTGCATGAGGATAAGGCAAGGCGGAGCGACAGGGAGTACTTATGTGTACAGGATAATACTGTGGTAATAAGAAAATGCAATTCATGTATCGGTACTTGTACGAAGTCTGCATTGAAGTAAGCTCCGTAATACGTAATACGTAGTATCTACTAGCGGTGGTACTGATACGTGGAGGATGTTGCATGTATTAATACACGTAGTACGTCTTTATAGAGTCGCTTAATAAAATAACGCCGATCCACCACTTTGCCGTCAACCCTCGCCGTAGAGCTGGTGTTGCCAGCCTGGTGACTTTATTGCTTCCTACAAATTGCAGCTGATTAACCGTTTTTAGAAAGCGCTAATTTAGTCGCATGTACCGGTCGGATAAAATGAAAATATGCGTGTGATACGCCGACATCATAATATTTTTTAGCATACTTTCCATGCCCCTCGGACCGATGTGGGGTTTAGATGACCTACCTAACCCCTTTTGCATTTATTGGCCAGCACTGACATATTACTTGGATATGATTGGTTATCCAAAACAAATAATACATGATTGGTCATTAATGATGATACTAAACTTTAGAGAAGTCGGATAAGATGATATTCTTCCATATCGATTGATACTTCAGTAAAAGGTTAAGTGCTACAAATTCATAACACCCAGTGGCAGCGTCTACTATAAATGTGCTAGTAAAACGACAAACTATTTGGGGTTCGTCGGTGCTCTTGGCAATTTGCTAATTCGTGACACTTTCCAGCATGGGCCCCGAAAAGAAGTGCGTGTGCAAGTAGAGCTCCTAGGCTCCTCCTCGTGTTGGGTCTTTCGACTTGCTCTTCGTTTCGTCACTTTGACTAATCTTTAACCTGCTCGGTGTAGAAGTAAGAAGCCATCAGCGTCGACTACGAGTGCAGCTATCGCCACGAATGAATATCCTTTCACCACTCTACAATTATCACTTGCATGGTGTAAAGATCGAGCTATTAAACATAACGTTAGTAGGGTCCTTAACCATGATTTTCATACGGATGAACTTCGTAAACGAGTAGAGGAGGCAGAGGCCCAATTGCGAGAAGAAGCCAAGATCATCGAACGAATGACACGCGACAACAAAAGCAAACAGGATCAGATCAACGCCATGGAGAATCTGCTACAACGTGAAGCTGAAAAACACCAAGAAATGCGGCGATTACTGGAAGACGAGCACGCAACGCAGAAACATCAAGCTGATCACGAAATCGAAGTACTGCGTCGTCAGGTTTGCCAATTGGAACTTCATGTGGAGGCGTACGACGTACTGGAAGCTGCAAATGGCAAGCTGCGCGATCGTGTGGAACAATTGATGCTGGAGATGGAGCAGGAGAATAAGACGCACGCTGAAGAAATTTATAAAGTGCGTCTGGACATGTTCAACCACAAAATGGCACTAGAAAAGGTAAAATTTTGCACAAACGAGGTCGAGGGCTTGTTATGTAAACAGTCTTTTTATACACTGTCTGTAGACATTCCGGAAAGCGCTTCAAGAGCTCGATGCAGATTACCTCAAGAAAGCATTCCACGCTATGTCGGAAGAAAGTAAGGTGCGTTGGCATGAGCTGATCTTTGTTGGGTTCAGACCTTTTAGACCAAAACTTCTGCTACTTACTACTAGAACGCTTTAGTAGCGAATGCTAAACTCAAAGATGAGTTACAGCTGCAGAGCATCGGTGTTGACAACCTGATGCATCGATTTACACAGCAGGCAAAGCACTTTCAGAGAATGGTGCGTACATACTAGAAGCCGTACGAATATTACTCATTGACATGATACCGTAGAAAGTAGAGAACGAGATATTGGAGCAGGAAAGTCACCTTCGACTACAAGAGGTGGCCGCAATGAAGAAAATTCACCTTACAGCTTCACGAACAATCGACAAACTCAAGGAAGATGTGAATAAAGAGGAGCAGGAATGGAAAGAGCACACAAATAAAGTGGTTGAAGACCTTCGCCACGACAACCAACATCTGCACAAGCTACATGAACTAGCACAGGTTGGTATCCCATCCGACTTGTCCTAACAGTTATGCAGCTTCAAGTAACCTTCTTTCGTTTTTGTTTTGTAGAAACGTTGCAACAAGTGGAAGTCAAGATGCATGGAGCTAACGGAGCGAGAGGCCGCACGACGAACAGATGAACAACGTGCCCAGACTGCCCCAGCAGCAGCCACAGCGCTATCATCGATGATCCGAGTGCGCAGTCAGCCGGCGTTCTCTCCGCATGTAACACCGACTATGAGCTTCTCTGCCCGTGACAAAGGCCCCAATATTAACTACGATGAAATGTGGAGTCACGCTTTTGCTCTTCGAACAAACCAGCATAACGACTTGACGATCGGATTTGTCGAAAAATTTGACAAGAAGACGAAAAAACTTGCCAAAGTTGTCCTTCAGCAAACTGAAAGCGAGACTATTGTACCATCAGGTACTGACGAATCGATCGAGCAGCTGCACCGAATAGCCACCTCCGCTCTGGACATGGTCTCAGCTAGAGCTGCAACGAGTCAGACTTCCAGAAAAAAAACGCATCGTCTTGGTCCGACTATTGTGCCGCGCAAAGGACAGAGTATCGATGCGTTTAATTTTGCCAGCTAGACATGCGTTGAACTCACGTGTGATAACGAAGTTAACACTGATACGTTTTCGAAGTACGATTGATAAATAAAGCACGAAATTTCCATCGGGCTACTTAAAAATACTTGGACCTTACATAGTGCGTAAGCGAAATGAGACCACCCGAAGCTGCGCTTATCCGCGCACGAGCCAAGGCACCTCTACCAGATCTTCTGGTACTTCACCTCTCCAACTCGGATATCGAGTGTATCAAGCATCTCGAGCTGTGTGAAAAGCTCCAGTCACTATATGCGGACTGCAACCACATTAAAGACCTCGAAGGGATTATCGAGCTGAAAAAACTGTGGCGAATCGACCTCAATGGAAATCTACTTAAGAATATCCACGCGTTGACTTCTTTTCGGGCGTTGGGTTTCTTATATCTCGAGCGAAATCGCATCTGTTTCAAGGATTTAGTTTGCCTACGAGAGCAGCATTTACTGGAGTTGCGATTAGCTGGGAATGATGGTCTGCTCAAAGGCAACACAATTGAGGAATATCGGAAAAAGGTAGTGGCATTACTACCAAATGTGTGGATCCTCGATACCCATTTCGTTTCTACACATGAAAGACAACGATCGATCGAAGAATTTGATGACTTCGTATTAAACCTTTTCGACCTACCCCATAGATCTTCATCCTTAGTGGACCTTAAATTTGGCTCTGCGACTGACGTATGGGTTGCGAAGGAAGACACTGCCGAGTTGACACCAAGCGCAAGGCTCATTGATATCGCCCATAGACGTGCAAACTCGACCGAGTTGCTGGACTTGAGAAGATTAAACGCTATCGTTTCGTTTCACAATGCTGAATGCGCGCTGCACAATTCGCATTGCCATTTCTCACCCTCCAAGCACGCGCCAAATTCGCGATGGATGCCTAAGATATGGCTGGACGAGGTGCTGGCACTTTCACGTCGTACACGGATTGAAGTCATCGCCCTATTAGCTGCTTTTATTCAATTTCGTTTCCCGAAGATACTCCTATCCGAAGCCTTGGCAATTAAACACCTCGATAGTCCCCAGTTTTCATCCGAAGCTATCCGAGATATTATCAATCTCCCTCCATACGCGCTGGTGGCACTGATCGCTATCGCTCGACAAGTTTCGCTTGAGAGAGAAGAGAAAATGCGGGAGGAGGGCAAGCCAGAAGTGGAGAATCCTGACTTTAAGGACGAGAGTGAACTCCTCAGAGCTATCCCACCGCTTTTTGCGACCCTCCTTCCCTCTGTAAACCCGACAAGTGACTTTGACCCACAAGCAACGACGATACGGTGTCGCCGGGTCATTAAGATGTTGTCCAATGTCGCTTCGTTCCCCGATCTGGAGACGATAACTTTTAAAGGGAAAGGGAAGCGGGAGGCTATTTTCCGTGATCTCGTACCTTTGATCCGAGCAGCTGAGGCTGCGTCAACAAGTCTTGCCTCTCATAATGGACGCAAGGTAATTATTCCGAATGTTGCCGTTTGCAAGCACAAGGCTGTGTACCACTCCTCAAAAGCTAGGAGTGGCCTCTATACAAAATGGAAACGTAATGCAATGCCACAAGACGAGGACCGAGTGGCGGCAACAGAAACCACAGCTAGACGGAAGCCGAAGCCTGGAGACTGGATCGAACTTAACTCGAAACAGTTCGTGAAGATCCAGTTCTCGTCTGTGGATGGACTATTGGTCGTAGGTGTATTGCCCACAAACACGTCTCGTTCGATTACGCTCGCTATGGAGCAATTATCCCGAGTCTCCAGCATTGTATGGCGCGTCAAGTACCTTACAAAGCAACAAGCGTTGGAGATCTCAGCAAGCAATTCAAACAACACACGAACTGGCAAGTTGCACCGAGACAGTGAAGCGTTTCATCGTCATGGCGCTGCTCGCAATCAAGGTTTCCCCAACCATTTTGTGACGGCTGAAATGTTGGAAGACATGAACCGCGAGCAGAACAGCTCGATCCCGTCGTCAAGAGAGACGAAACCGGTCGAGATCTTCAGTACGAACGACACGTTGGACGCCAACTATGTGCTCACATCACCTGACCATATTTCAGCCCAGAATTATTGTGCTGCTAATTCGTTTCTTCTGCAGCGATGCCAGCCTAGAGGTCTATGGAGCCCAATGAGGCTGAGTGCACCTTACAATGTCCTAAGCAACCAACCGACGACGACTCGATCGTCGTCTCTCAACGACCTAAAGGTCCGGAAGCCTCGCATACAGCAGAGTACCTTAAATGCACCTCAATTGTCGGACACTAACGATTGGCACGTGATCCGACGGGCGATGCAGGCGCAATTGGGTATTGCAGACAGGTTGGAACGCAACGACAGTCGGCCATTGACCGATTTGGACGCCGGCCTGCAAACGCGCACTGACGCCTCCAGCTTCCTCACTGCTGCATCAGATCGCATCTCTAATAGTGCAACTGCTACCGATCAATTTGCAAGCGATCGTCCTCGAGTCGAGACTCCACAGAGGAGCAGCAGCTCCCAGAAACCCGCGATCGGCGGCAGTGTGAAGCTCGCGCCAGCGCGAGTTTGGCACCAAGTCGCCACCAAGACAGAGTTCGTCGTGGCAGCCCCTGTAGTCGCTACAGAAGCGCTCAGTGCCTCGCACAGCGCACCGGTGCTGCCTCGACAGATCGCGGTAGCCACGCCGAAGTTGAAGTTATTGTTGCCGTCGCTTCAAAAATAAAATCCTGAAAATGTTTCGTTTCTTTGGTAGGCAAGATAAAAATGCAACCAATCAGAAAGCTTGTTTCATCTTCAACAGCTCCTGTTTTTCGAAAGTCTCATCTCACTCTGCAAAGCGCAACAAACAAGCCCAAGCCAAGTTTATCAAGCAACTTTCCCCCTCTACCCGTTCCACAATGGCGACGATGTCCATGATGGTCGACAGCGACAGCATGCTAATGGACTCGATCCCGCGTCTCCGTTGGAGCCCTAAGAACAACCGTTTCCACTTCAATATGCCGGTGGCGGCCGAGCCAGGCGAAAACGGATTCGTACTGCTGCAGGAGTACGAACACACGGACTCGCTTAACTCCATGAAGCTACCGACCAAGGAGCGCCACCACCTGGAGGAAATGGAGCGCATCAACAACCTCATCAACGACGTGGAGAACTCAGTGCATCTACACGAGACCGTCAAGGTGCTGGAGCAGAAGCGTATGCACCACGACGAGTACCATGAACGCACGATCAATGACGAAGAAGAGCGGCCACAGGGCCTCAAGAAGAAGGATAGTTTTCGTCAGCGACAGCCGCCTAAGCGCTCGTTCGAAGGACGGCGACAGAAACCCACGCGCATGGGCCGCGTGCACCAGCCCAAGTAAGCGACGATTGAAGCTGAAAACAAGAGACACCCGCGATGGTTTTCACTGAGGAATCCCCTTTGAGATACGGTGAAAACATACAGAAAAAGAAGACAAGAAGGCGGGCGTGAACTTCTGCGCCAAGATGTAAAGCTATCAGAAACACGGCAGAAGTTACATGTAATAATACATTTCCCATTTGGCTGCTGCGATGCCAGTTCATGTACATTTGCCGCCAGGAGCTAATTGTGAATTAATGACGGGATTTCACTGAAGCATTGTAAAGTGGCAGCCGGAGAAAATGTCGAGAGGGGTGTGATTGATACGCATTGTTAGTGTTTCGGTCGTTAGAATAGTAGAGTTCTGACTCCAGGTCCGTCGCGTGGCCAAGAATACTGTCACTTTCAGTGCACCACAGATAAAAGTACCCGTCTAATCTGAAAATTTATGTCAGAGCAAGGGGGGTCCGCCTGGTGTTTCAATTTCCGTAATTTTCTACTAATGAGCCGAGTATGAATATACCATTTCCAAAAAGCCATTATATAATGAATATAAATACCTTAAGATAGAAAGAAAATACCATGTTGTGTTAAATTAATGAAATACACTAAAATTATCTGTGTCGTCGCCCTCGCGCTTAAGTACGCCTATTTTATTGTGAGTTCTAGTCAAAATTTCCGATTGAACCGCTCCGGAGTTTCGATCTGAGTTTCGCCCTACCTATCTTATAGGGTATTCCAAATAATGGTGTGTATCTGACCAGATTCCCAGAGAGAAACCTGCAAGCAACCACAACACGAGTGCAATGGAGGCGAGCTCAAGACCAAGCAGGGGGGGCGTCGAGGTGGCGAGCCCAAGCCCGAGGACTGGAGACATGGAGGCGACTAGTGCTAGCGAGCGAGAGGCAACAACACCAGCCAGATCGACAGCTCTGAGATCACAGCGAAGCTCGACGCCTCATACGCGCGTCTCTCCGTATCCTGAGCGGGCACAAACTCCAGTTCGACGGTCGCCAAGCGCAGCGCACTCAGAAGAACGTCGGCAGCTAACGCTGGTGGTCCAGCCAATTATCAAGGCTACAATTGACCAGCGAGATGCATCTGGCGTCACGCTAGATGAGATGACCGTGTGTGGAGCCACGTTTAACGACATTATCACTTCTCTATTCGAACAGCTTCGTAGTCACATCAAAGGACGGGCAGTTAAGACGAATGGCGAGTGGTCACTGCAGACTACTTTCCAGGAAGAATGGCATAAACTCATGCAATTCAGATTCAAAAGGCACATGATCGAAAGCACCAAGGCAGAAGACGCTTGGGCACAGTGGGTAAAAAGTACACACCGCCACACTGTACAGCTTCTTGTGTACGAATTTGGCCTCGCAATAACAAAGGCGCAAGACCTATTGAATTTAAAGAGGCGTGCATTCAACCTCCGGAAACCGATCGAGCTGGTGCAGCTGCGGAGAGCACCACATGCACGATGTGGTTGTCCAACTGCAGCAACACTGGGGGAGCACATTTCAAGGGTCGGCGATTGTTTGGCGCATGTGGGCGAACTCTATCACGCGTAACTTAAATCGATCGACATGGACTGATGCAATTTCAGATCCACCTCCGGAGCACGTAGCATATTTACTAAACGCAGCGGACTCGCGTCTTGAGCAACACATCTCAAACCTCAATCGATCATCTCGGCTCGCACTGGACTGTGTTGCCGCAGCTATTGCATATAATGAGCAAATCCGTCGTGATGTTGACGCATTAGTAAGACGGGTTGAAGCACAAAAGAATCGACTAGCTGACAGAAAGACAATCATCGAGGCATTCATTGACGAATTACTGCCTCCCTCACCTAGTGATGTCATCGATCCTGTTCCACAGATTAAAAACATTGCTGACATCGATCATGAAGAGTAGATAGTAAATTGTAGGATACTCAGTAGCCTTACTACTGGTGCGTTACAAATCCTAACTCATCTTCACGGCAGCTTCACCGTCCCAAATGTCTGGTACCTGTCGTTTCTCCTTAGAGAGTGGCCCGACTGGATTAAAAATGCCTTGTTTCATCCAACCACAGTGCTCAAACACGCGTGTTATGTCGAACGATTCAAAGCGCTGGAACGTCTTCACAGCGAACGGAGTCAGGTCCCGGCCACTAGATTCGTCATAGTGTCGCATAAAAGCCTCCATCACGTACCCAAAGAGAAATTCAATGGGATTAAAAAATGGGCAATACGCCGGCAAGAAAATAGGGACCACGCCGACACTTCGCAGGTAGTGTATAATCTCTGGATGGCGATGGATTGATGCTCCATCGAGAATCCACACCGAGTTAGATCCCGGGTATTGATTTACGCGCCCACGTGCTGAGTACACGAAATCTTTGCAGCAATTCACGAAGCTCAACCTGTCGAACGTTCCTTGTGTATCGTAGTAGTCGAGTAAACCGTTAGCTCCAATAAACGCTAGCACTAAAATCCTTGGCTTCCTCTGAAAGTCTCCACGTACGGCAACCTTTTCTCCCCTCATTGAGTATCCTCTTTTTCGTATCATTCCGCGGTTATCAAAGGATACTTCGTCTAGGAAGACAAGGTTTTGATGACTCCAATTAACAGTACTGAGCTCCTCAACGAATCTGAATACATCGCTTTCTTTAATATGCATTGCACGTCTTTCAAGGACCTTCCAAGTAAGTCCGAAGTGGTAGATAATGCCTCAAACGGATGACTTTGAAATCGAAATGTGGTGAGCTTCAGTGAAAGCAGCTTGTGCTTCGTCCAAGTAGGCAAGCGGTTTTTCTGATAATAGTTGTTGAGCCATTCTCTATGCGCTGATGTAAACTTCCTGTCCACTTCTGTGTTCGCCCGCTGAAATGTTCCTGTGTCCTCGTAGACCTGTATCCAGTTACCGATGGTTCTTACGTCCTTGTTGTAGACATGAGCGAGCCGCTGGTGAATGTAGCCAAGATTGTAGAACGCGGACAAGCAGTGGAACACTGGGTTTGGGTGAGCATGTTGCTTAGTGGCGGCCAGCTCCGTTTTCGCCAATTGTGCGCTGCTGGCGAGCGAGCACATCTTTCCTCTTTTAGCCAGTAGTATGCTACCGAGCGGTTGCGGAGCCGTTTATAGATTTGATCGAAGCGGAAATCTCTTGCAGAATCGACAATACTATGGAATGGTGCACGAACAGCTCTTGGAAACTGATACCTGCAAGTAGATGAGTTTTCTCAGGCACGCTGAGTATTCGATCTAACACAGGCGAGAACCCTTCAGATGCCAGGAAGTTAGCAGACGGCACGCGCCCCTAGAGTAGCCCATATTAAGAGACACATAGATCTCAGGTTTTCTGTGACGGGGTCACACAGCACCTTGCGCTAGAGGAAGTTAGCTTCCGAGAGCTTACAAACTCTCAGTGAACGGCAGTTCACAGGTCCCCTCTTTACCTAAAGAGAGCGAAGTGACCTATTTAAGGTAGAATGTAAACGGAGTATATTAATAGGTAGATAAAGCTTGGATTTTATACAAACTATAAGTCACCAATAGAAATGCAATGTCATCAACCAATGGTTGGCTTTGACGACCTTGGTACTTTGTACCAAATATCCCGAAGTATGACGTGTCATACTTCATGTTACCAGGGTACACTTAGGGATACGTACCCCGTTACATCCTCCCCCACTTTGGCTCGGTTTACCGACCAATCAGAATGAAGAGGTGCTCGTCACAATCTTTCATTCTCAAAGTCGAAAACCATCGACTTGGCCGCGCGAGCGCGGCAGAGGCTCACTTCACAGTTAGAGCCTCGAGCAGCAGTCTGTGCGCCCTTCTTCTAGGTCTTCCACTTCGACCGCTAGCCATGCCTCGTGGCACTGCATTGAGCGGTGCGAAGACACGCTCCAAGACTGCTGCCGGAAAGGCGCAAGCCAAGAGCACTAAGCCTCACGGCAAAGGCTCTGTACTTATGGAGGCTACTCGGGTGGCCTCCGAGGCGATCGGTTCATCAGGCGACAAGGCTGTGGGCAAGCGAGCTAGCAAGTGCCGCAGCCCGTCACCCTCGGCCTCTCCAAACAATCGTCCGAACCGTCGGTTAGTAGAACGTGAGTTCGACTCTGGCAGTGAGGACGAAGCCGAGTCCGAGAGCACGCACGATGCTCCTGCGGGCTCTGCGGGAGCGCACAGCCCAGTGCCCAGCGAGCACAAGGACGACAGCGTGCAGTCGCTCGCTAGTGATCAAGATGATCACCGTCCCAGGACGTCTGTGCGCTCTGAGAGCCCGGCAGTCAAGGCTAAGGGCACTCCCAAAGCTGGTGGCGATAAGGAAATGAATTCTCGCAAACGTCTCTCGCTTGCCGAGGGTCTTGCGCGTGCTAGGGTCTCTAAAGCCGAAGGCGCCAAGCCCCTAAAGAAGAGTACGGCCTCTAAGTCCTCACTCCGCGAGGAGAAGGAGACTCGGCTCGGGGCCTCGTCGACTCCTCGGATGAAGACGGGGAAGATGAGGAGGAGGGTGCTATCGCTGAGCCCCGGGATGTCACGAATGACCTCGACCAGCAGCAGGAGGACTTCCAAGCTGCCCAACGTGTGCGCGGGGGTTCGGTGGTGGCACCCGTCAGCCAGGGAGCTGCCATCAACTCAAGAGGGTATTGGCCTCCCGAGGAGAGCTCTGGGGCTGACCTCTTCCTAGAGCCTTTTGTCGCTCCTCGTGGTCTTGTGGGCGGCCACACTCTTAGGGGCATTTACGAACGTGCCCTTGTTCAAAAGGAGCAGTTGTTCGCTGACAACTTGGAGGCTGCTCGGTGTGTGCTTCTCGCGCCACACCGCATCCCTCTTAAGGACTTCACGACTTGTCGTAAGAAGCCCAAGACCCGGAGTGGTCTCTATCCACTTTGGGGATACCCCTGGGTTATGCCCGAGAGCTGTCCCACCTGGAGTTCTTGTGAGGACATGTTGTGGGCATGGGTGAAGTCTCTTAAGTACTCACCCACGGAGTTACGGGAACTCCATGAAGATCAGCTGCTGTCCCGCATCCTGGACCAGCGTGATCTTCGTGTGAGGTTTGCTCACTTGGTCAGCAAGCGCATGGTGTCAAGGGACATCCTGAAGCGCGCGGCTTCTAGCGCTCATGATGAGCGCGGGTACGGAGTGTCCTCAACGTCCGTACCCCCTTCGGGCAAGAAGCCCCGGACTACTTATGAAGCTGCCGCCGCTTCTGTT